TCGATGATCTGATCAATACGCGGGAGCAGGAAGGGGTCTTGAGGGCAAGCCTTGTTGAGGTTGGTGAAGTCGCCACACATGCGCTCCTTCCCGCCCTTCTTGGGGGCGACCACCAGATTTGCCAGCCACTCTGGGTAGCCCAAATGACACCAGCTTCTTGTAGTTTGCGTGTCTCCTGGACGATGAACGACCGCTTCTCTGTGGACTGCCTCCGCGCCCTTTGCTTCACTGGGCGCACGTTAGGGCATACCCTCAAGTGATGCTCGATTACCCCCCTCGGGATCTTGACCACATCCTTAGGCTCCCATGTGAACACATTCTTGTTCCTGCGCAAGAAGCTGACAAATGCCTCCTCTTGATCTGGAGGGAGACCGGCACCTATGGTGAAGGTGGCACGCGATGCCCTGTCTTCATCAACTGGCACCTGCTTCGTCTCGGCGCGATCTTGGGAGAACAATTATTTCTTCTTTGCTGGTGCAGCCCCCGGAGCCTCTGGGGATCCTTCCTCATTTGGCCGTGTGGCAGCCGCGGCCCTGAAGGAGAGCTTGAGGGCCAAAAAGGCTTCCTTGGTGTCTCCGGCTACAATGAGGACGCCGCTGATCCTCGGCATCTTCATGCGATTGTAGGCAGGGTGGGTCGCTGCCATGAACTGGGCCAAGGCCGAGTACCCGAGGATGGCGTTGTAAGGGAGGCCGATGCGGGCGATGTCGAAGTTGATGTGCTCGGTGCGGTAGTTGTTGCGGGTGCCGAAGGTGGCGGGGAGGCGGATCTGCCAATGGGCAGGTGGAACCATCGACGACCCCGGAGAAGGGCTTGGTAGGGCGGAGCTGGCCATGAGGCACGTGAAGCAAGCCAAGTGCCTCTACAGAGAGCGCATTGAGGCCGGATCCACCATCGATGAAGGTCTTGGTGACCGCCACATTGCAGATGGTGGGGGTGCAGAGCATCGGGAGCGCACCGGCGCCCTGTGGTGCTCGCGGGGTGGTCCTTCGAGTCGAAGGTGAGGTCCACCTTGGGTGCCTCCCAACCCGGGGGAGCCCCCTGTTGTACGTGGTGGCACCTACCTGGCGAAAGAACTGCTTGACGTGGCGGTCGGAGGGCGGCGCCTGTGAACCACCGAGGAGGGCCATGATGGTGGGGGGCGCCGGTGCCGCGAAGCGCGCTATGAAGAGGCCGCACAACTCCTCCCAAGAGGCCATTGAAGATCCTGGCAGGTCGAGCAGCCAAACTCGCAGCGCGCCTGCGAGGGCCATAGGCAGCCAGTTGGCCATGACCTTGTCGTCGCCGCCGGCTGCCAACACAGCCTCCTGGTACGCCTGGAGAAAACCTACCGGATCCGCCACGCCGTCGTAGCAGGGCGGTAGCTCCGACCTAAACTTGGGTGGCCACTTCACCCTCCGCAGGGCGGGGGTGAAAGCTCGGAGGCCCTCGGCTGCTCCGAAGGAGTGCATCGATCTGGTAAATGGAGGAGTGTCCGACATGAGAGCCAACAGCGAAGCGCAGCGGGCAGAGCGGCGGATCTTTGACGCACCCCTACCTGGCGCGTCAAATGTCGGATTTCGGGTTCCACAGACCCTTGAGAGGTTCGAACTCTAGGGTGCGTGCGAAGAACTCGTCCTCCCCAATCTGCCTACTCTCTAATCTCACGGCCTAGCTCAACGAACTAACGGAAAAGAGACACAGTAGTTTACCCAGGTCCCGGTCACCTTGCGATGTAAAACCCTACTCCTGCTTTGTGATGGATTGGCCTCGAGGGGCTGAGGTTGAACTAGTACAGTGGGAGATCAACCTCAGGAGGAGGAGTGTTCTTGTGCTCGATGAGCTAGTGGGTGTGAGGATGGTCTGAATGATCCGTCGTCCTCCTCAATGGTGGTGGCTAAGTCCTATTTATAGTGGCCTTGGTCCTCGTCCCAAATGAAGGCGAGAAGGGATCCCACAATGGCCAAATTCGAAGGGGGACAACTAGTACATGCTATCGTAACAAAAGTAGTCTTCGCCTGCAAAAGCCTCTGGTCGTGACGCTGTGGTGGGCTCGGCGATGACCTCTGTCCTGCCGTCCTGGCGGTCTTGGTCTTATTGCACCGGAATGGAAACCTTTGCCTAATTCCTCGGGACTCCGCGCCTGCGCTTGCCTCCTTAGCACCAAAGAGGAAACTAGTACACTGCACCAGTTGGCGCCCGCCTGGCCTTGGTCGTCATGGCTCATGTCATCCGATCCTCGCGAGGTGAGCTTTGCCTTGAGATCTCCGCTCCTTGGAAGGCAGCCTGAGGAGGCGGCTCCTCGTGGAGGTCTTGGCATCGTCCGCCTCACGAGGCTTGTCCCCTCACGAGGGTCTTGACCTGTTGATGCTGAAGCTGGGCCATACCGGGCCGTCGATGGAGCCACACCGTGGGCCGCTGGTAGGCAAGTCTGGGTACCCCCATTCCGAGAACGCTGACAGATCCATAGATAGACCTTGACTAACCTGCTCTAACGGCCAGGTCATGTCAAAGGTTGTATTGATATACGGGCTGTGCTGCCTCTCTTCCTTTATGGCGAGGAGGGGCAGGTGGGTATTCGGCCTTGCCCACCAGCCTGTCCCTTCCTTGAGGGGGGCGGTTAGGCTGGTTGCCTTGAGTTCGTCTGGGTGGTGCAGGCTCAAGGGCCTCGTCGTCGAATTGTGGCAAGAATTTGTGCTTGGGGTAGCTCTTTGTCTGTCGTTCATTCTTCAGCTGCTAGGACTATCGTCCATATATCATTGAGGGTGTCTTGTTTGGCTTTTATGTGTTGTTGCTTCTTCTTCAAGCTGCATGAAGTGGCTATGAGTTGTTGCTTGAACCGCTTTTGTCCCAATGGATCTTCTAGGATGATAAAGTCTTCAACTCCAAGGCTGACCTCCTCTTCGGAGAGAGGCACGTAATTGCTATCTTTGGAATCATTGGGGTCCTCGGGAGTAAGATGAACCACTTGCCCCTCTAAGCCATCGGGCTGGTGCTCGGGGCCGGGGTCACAGAGGTCTTCCCCGTTTTCCGAGGTGTCACCCTCTTCGATGTCCGTGTTGCTTTCCCTCCCTCGTCGCCCCTTGGATTGTCAGCATTGTCTCCGGCGTTTTGGGGGCTCCTCTCCAGGCTTGTTAGTGTCCCTTCTGGGGGTGCCATCCCCATTAGCGCCATCACTCTCGTCCTTAGGGGGTGTCCACCTTGTAGATGTTATAGGTGGATGTGGCTGTCCATCGACCGGTGACGGGAGGGGCGACGTCTATGTGGGGCGTGGCTTCACTGTTGTCATCCGTGTCATCAGCCTCCTCAGAGGCATAGTCCAACATGTCAGTTAGGTCTTCGACAATGGCTACTAAGTGGGTGGTGGATGGGACATAAAATTCCCTGTGGCCTGCCTAAAGGTTACATTGAGTGTGAGCCTTGGTCGGGCCATCAACAATGGTCATCATCTGAATCCGATCGAGCGCTTCGTTTAACAGGACGAGGTTGACTCAACTGGCGTGTGAGGTTTCGTCGGAGCTGACCTCCATCATCACTATGAGGCGAGGCATGGGTTCGGCTAGGGCGAGATCCTGGTCTTCGGATGTCTTACTTGCGCCAAGGCTCGAAGCCGAATCTGCGGTGAGGAGGGCGAGTCCGGCTGGGGTTAGCCCCCCATCTTTGGATGCCGAACTCCCGTTGGGGCTCGAAGTCGATCCTGTAGTAAGGGGGGAAAGTCCTAACTGGGTTGATTCCTGGGCTTCGGACATATGAGTTGCTTCTGAGCTCGAAGCTGACGGAGCGGTAAGGGTCGATCCAGCGATCAGATCAGGGAAGAGCCCTAAAGTCAATGCTTCGGAGGCCGTGGCCATTTCAGATAAGGCTCAAAACCCAGTGAAGATCAGATCGCCCTAGTGTCGGTGACATACTCAAAGTTACTAAAGCTGATCTGATGCTCAGGGGCAAAACTATCAACCTGGTTGAGATGATCGCTCAAGTCAGCATGAAGGACAATGCTACCGAACGCGAAAAGCTGCCCATGGATGAAGATGTACCTGGTGCTGATCCCGTCTCCGATGATTAGGTGAGCTCTCGATCCCTCGGCGATCCAATAGAGGAACTCTCGATGAAAGCACGAATGTCGGTGTCAAAACCAGCGGATCTCTGGTAGGGGGTCCCGAACTATGGATCTTGGATCGATGGGGAACAGGGGACGTGGGACACGATATTTACCCAAGTTCGGGCCCTCTCTAAGAGTTAATACCCTATGTCATGCTTGATTATATTGCTTGTGTATATGAGGATTACATAGTTGATCTACCACGAGATCGGATGACTAAACCCTAAACTAGTAGGATGGTGATTATTGTCTTAGCCTCTATGGACTAAACCCTTTGGATTATATAGACACCAGGGGTGCTAGGGTTTACATATAGTCGGCTACATCAGGGGAACGCTGGATCTTCCATCTTGACTTGGAGCACACACCAAGGCACAAAAAGTCTTTCGTTCGGGTACAGTGCAGCCCAACAGTCCGGCCCATGAGAGATAGGCGTGCCACAAGAGGACCCCTAGTCCAGGACTCCCTCAGCGGGTACTCCACCACCCTTTATAGGAGTAATATGGGTATTAATTGTGAAGATTTTTCCATTTATTACATATCTCAAATATTATTTGGGCATTAATACTCCAAGATTTTCGTTATAAAACTAGGACGTGGTGCAATTATCGTATCTTATCTACTATAAGTGTGACCAATCAACTAGGGTTAACATTATCCATATGAGAAGATAATGTGAAGATCTTTCCATTTATTACATAATTCAAATGGTTTTTGGGCATTAGTACTTCAAGATTTTTGTAATAAAAACCAAGACGTGGTCAATTATCATATCTTATGCAATTAATACCATGACATATTTTATTATGAAATGCAATTTATTGCTCTTCTTGAATGACAACCATTCATTTCATGATAGTTGCATAACTTTATAAATATGATGGTAGACACATTAACAAACGGAAAATTTCATATTTCCACCATGAAAGAAAATCCATCTATCAGTGTGACCATTCTCTTAGCATATTTTATTCTAACCATCGGAGGAAAAGAAGTAAAGTGTATAACACAAGAAGAAAATACTAGTGCGATCCCACTGAATCAAAAACTCAATAGGACTATTCTGGTATGCATAGATTCATCTTAGTTTGTATATCTATAATCATTTTTTGGACTATGAAGTTTAGGTTATACAAAAATAGGTTCATGGAAGAGATGTTTACGACTGCATCGATGTGAATCTACAACCAGCCTTTAGCCATCCACTACTGAAAGACCACAAGATCCAGGCAAGTTTTAATAATCAATATATTATAACATTCATGTACTGGCTAAGTAAAATGTAGATGTTCATGTAGATGTACATGAATGGTATGTTATTTGATATAGACAGTGGTAGGTTGGTAGCTAATGCATATAATCATGGTAGCAATTATTTGAACTCCAGTTTTTATACTAATACTTCATAAATAAGTTTTCATGACACATCTAGTGTTCTTAATTTCTCTTCATGTTATCTTTATTTTATAGAATATAAATATACAACATTTTGGTATGATCACCAAGCAGGGCAACATGCAAATTCAACTAATTTTATTGATATGTTTAATTGCGCATTATAACACATAAACATGAACATTTTTGATCATTTTTTTTCTTAAAGTACATGTTGATTAAATTTTTCTCATTAATAGATGGAACCAAGCTCTTTCCCACTAAGTACTTCTACCAAATCTCCATTGATGGATGCCATCCCACAAGCCCAATTGGCCCTGATTGAGTGCCCTACAGGAACGATTCCAATATTACGCAAAAATAGAAAGGTCCACATGCCAGTAGAAACTATTGGTAAAGTGATTAGCCAGGATGAACATGAGGTGAGTTTTTAATATATTTTTTCTGGTGATTTAGTTATCATGGTAGATTATGACAATGTAAACTTTTCCTTGGAGTTGTTGAATGCACAACATTATTGTCTTGGAAACCACATGTCGGAACAATAATTACCTAACAACATTCTAGGATTGTATCACATTAGATTCATCCTTTAGATAAAATATATGGCCCAAGGTAGTCAAATAAGTAAATGCAAATGATTACTTGTATAAACATTTTTACACTTGACATTTGTGTTACCATTGGAGCGGATTAAACTTTTCTCCAAGTGTTTCATCTATATTGACCTTAGTTGCACCATTAAGTGATGTTCATAATTTTTTTTGTGATATGATGTCAATCTTTCTTATGTTTAATAGGAATTAGTATTTTCATTGTAAACAAGTCAATATCTTGTTTGGGCTTGCAGGTTGCAGGAATAGAATATTTTGATGTGCTATATGGGACGCGGGCTAAAATAAATGTTTATAATCCTATGGTGAAGAATAATAGTAAGTATCTAAGTGCATCATGCATACAAATTAGTAAGGTACAAAAAGTAGGTGTTGCAGATGGGATAGGGGCCGGTTCTTGGGTGTATCCAAGCTACAGTGGCGACAACTTTGCTAGGTTTCATGTTGCTTGGGTAAGCCATAACTGTTTCTTTGGATGCATATTCTTTAATTTAATAATAACTTACAATATACCATTTTATTGACATTGATACACATTTATGTAAAGCTTGATGGCTTAAAGACTTGCCCTGATCATGATTGTGGCGCTTTTGTGCAAGTAAGCTCAAGTGTTGGTCTAGGAGGAAGACTTAAACCAGTTTCTGTCTATAATGGACCACAATACCTCATAGATGTTATTATTTTCAAGGTATACTCATGTAAATATGTTTGCTAATTCTTGTATTTTGTTTTCTCATATGAAATGCATGAATGATATTTTGATGAAAACTTTAAGACTTTGCTTAAACCAAACTTATAGGTCGTCAACCCATAATATAACACAACATTACTAAGAACCTTTGATTGTACACAATATTTTAACATGGGGGGGGAGAGTCCCAAATATATCTCTAATATTATATTCATGTTAACACGACATACAATTAAAAGGATAGTTTCACCTCACCACAAACATTTTATCAACTGTTATTCATTTCAACTTTGTTAAGCATTTACATGAACCTTTGATTTATTTTAGGACCCAAAGACTAAAAATTGGTGGGTGGCTTATGGTCCACAAAACATACATATTGGATACTGGCCAAGGGAAATTTTCCATTTCATGAAGGATCAATGAATTATGCATTATGGGGTGGATATGTTCAAGGTCCAACAGCCTCATCAGACTCTCCACAAATGGGTAGTGGTCATTTTGCTTTAGAAGGATTTGGAAAAGCAGCATTTGTGAGTAATATCCAAATTGTAGATAATGAGGGCAAGTATGTTACTCCAAATGACAAGCAAACTGGTCTTGTCGCCACCAATTTATCAAAATATACTGCGAAGGCTCATGGTTATGGATATAGTCACTATGGTGTGCATACTTACTATGGTGGACCTGGTGGTTTTGTTTGAATATATATATATATATATATATATATATATATATATATATATATATATATATATATATATATATATGTGTGTGTGTGTGTGTGTGTGTGTGTATAATTATCAATAAAGTTTCCATAATCTAATTAATATGTCAACTTGGACAAATTATTTTGTGATTTTATCATGCTCGAATGTATTTATAGTGGTGGATAAGTTGAGTCATCCAACAGTGTAGATTAGGTTTGATTTCCTCGGCTATACGCCGTGTATTTTCGTGTTTCTTCTAAAAAGTGTTATGTTTGATGTCGTATAAGAATAAGAGAGATAAACCTGTTAATTGCACTATGTGTGTACTTCACTCTATGTAGATAAGACATTGAATATATTGCCAATTGTTGCGATAAGTGAGAACCATTTTATTTGTGTGTCTCATCTTTCATGGTACGTGAGGAAAATTTCATAGATTTCCTAAAAGTTTAAAAGGTTCCCAAGTGATGGTAAGAAGACATGATGAACTTCTAAAGCAATGATAATGCCTAGACCAATGGTGGACGAAGAGAGTGGAGACAGGGTTAAAGGAGATGATGGGGGAGATGTAGCTTTGTCTTCTCGCAATGAAATGGTTGTTAAGGACATGCAAAAACTGCCGAAAAGGAAATGAGTGGGGAGCGATTTTACATTTCCCTCTATGAATAAAACACATGTCATCACGTTGCTCACACATTTCTGAACTAGAACAATCATTGATCGGTTTTCCTTTATATATTTTCATTATTCCATGCATGTGCATTCAATTAGCTTGTCTACAAGGTGAAGTTGTTAGGTATGTAGATGCAGTCGACAACATATAGCATGGTGATTAAGTCATCGAGGATGGGAATTAGGTCAATGTGTGAATGTTGGATGGTATTACTTCTATAAAGATGTTGGAGTACCCGCCTTCCTGGGCTCGTCGAGAGCGAAGAGCGCCTTCTGGCCGTCCGTTGATGGGTGGCATGTGTCGGGAGCCTCTCGGTTAGCTCCGCGCCATGTGATCTCCCTGAACGACAAGGACCTGGGCGACACAGCTGGAAGGTCCAAGACGGGTGCACCGCCCAGTGTCCATCACGCCCCTGATGACCTGCAAGGTCACATGATTTATTGTAGCTTTATTGAAGTAAGAGTATCGTCTTTGAAATATGCCCTAGAGGCAATAATATTGTACTATTATATTTCCATGTTTGCAATTAAGAGTTTATATTCTATGCTATAACTTCTATGATCCTGGAATATGTGATCCAGTGGAAAACCCATATGCGCGTGTGGAATGATAAACGGTAAAACCTCATTCATAGTATTGCCTCTAAGACTAACTCATGTGTTGTTTGTGATCATGTTTTTCGGATCTTGGGAGATCATTAAGTGTAACGATAGTACCAAAACAAGTTTCAGAATATGACATTGGAAGAACGATCATATTGAATTTATCCAACTTGTTTGTTATACTTTGAGATGCTATCATCACAAGTCAATTGTGATAACACTACAAAAGAACACTTCCATGATGATATGTGTTTGTCACAGTAGGTCACGTTTTCTGTCATGCATGTACACCCATGACAATTTTATGACAAAATAAAGATAGTCATACATGTGTTGTCATAGAAGTGTCCCATGATAATACTGAAATTATCATCACAGATGTGACCACTTCTATGACAATAAATGGTGCATCATGGTAGTGGTCTCGTCAAGGGTAACTGACACGTGGCATCGACCGTAACGGGTCCCCATTAAGCTATTTAGTCCGGTTTTGGATCCGATAACCCATTAATAGCAATGACCAATGGCGATTTTCCACGTGTAAAATTCTCGTTGGCGGAAAACACCACATGTAAACTCTGCGTTGGGACAGATGTCATCCAGCGAATGGACAGGACGCGCCTATGATATGTTGACACATGGCTCGGCCCAATAGTGGCCCATTCAGGTTAAAAGGCTAGCCCATTTGACTTGGTCAAAAGATAGCGGCCCGGCCCTTGGAAAGCATGTCAACGACCTGTTTGCATATAGCTAGCCCATTTACAGCCCGCTAACTCACGACATGTTATGGCCTATTCGAATTAGGCCCAGTAGTGTCATCTGGGCCGTCCAATATGATTCCAGCCATTGTAACTTCCGACCCATGTATGGCCCATGACGTATTTTGGCCCATATGAGGCCCTTTGTAACTCTGGGCCCATTAACGACCCGTGGTGAAACTGGCCCATAATGCAAGCTTGTTAGCTTTCTCCTGTTTGGCGCTAAAATCCTCCAATGCTTACTGTTGCACCAGAAAGTATGCATCTGAATTCTCCAGGGACTTCCTCAGTCCTTCGACTTCTTGTCACAACACAACTGATCGATGACTTTTAGCTTGTAGTTGATACTCAAGAAACCGAACTGATTCAGACAGTGAGTTCGAAGAGCTTGTGCGAGTAACTCGAACACTACATCAAGAAAGAACTTTGGGGTTGTATCACTGTCATCAAGATGGTTTTCCTTAGCTATTTTATCAGCTTTGTTGGAGACCAACAAGTATGTCTCACTATCCTGAACCTTATCATCATTACTTCCTTTACCATTGATTAATAAGGTACTCTTCTCCAATACTCTATCGACATTCTAAAAGAAGAAACAAGCAGACACATAACATGTTTAGCATGTGGTATATGAAACTCATTTTGGTGAACCAGTTCAGTAGTAAGGTGGATAGTATTAAACTACCAAGTCTTCTATTGCGAAGTAGTACATAATAAAAGCATGAAACAAACATATATGTATGTGCTATGGTCACTACATTATCTTTCCAAATCAAAATAGAGACACGGTTCAAATCATATTAGTTCAAGACAAAGCAGTATTGAAAGAATACAAGTGTGGAAAACTACACGACACAACAAGATTTCAGATGGGTACCACGTGTATACATGTACAACAACACTATTGGCTCTATTGTGATGCTAGCAATGTGCATGATATGAGAAGACAATTGTAGGCACAATTAAAATTGAAATCAACAGAGCAATTTAGAAGAGCAAACCAGTTAAAGAAAAATGTCTAAACATACCTGTTGTGCCATTGGAGTTTTAATTGGATCCTTTAATTTGAAAATAAGTTGTATGAGTAAATACAGTGATATAAGAGCAAAGCAGTATGCACCATAGCAACGGAATCTTAAATGAGAGCAATTGTTCTTCGGGTTTAAGCACTTGTTCTACACGAACAGAGTATAGTAAGACGCAGGCATATGGTACTTCAAAATAAAAAATGATCTCATAGACCTTATCACATTCTTGGTTCTAGACTAGTACAGAACAAGGTGTTCCTAGTCATCGTCCCGTAAATGTGTCTTAAGAGAAAGTAAGGGAATTTGATGAGTTTCCTTGCCGGTGAAGTAGGTTTTCTTCAGATAATTCTGATACTGCCACAAAGCATTCTTGAAGATAGCAGAGGTATTAGCACAGGTTACCTCATCCTGAGTTTTCAAATCGGTCCTTCTCTATAGAGAAAAATGGGAACATTTGCTGTATTATAACCAGCATGGAGGTAGAAAGTATGGGACTAAGCAAAGTAATTTCCATGAATAACATTACTTACACATACTCATGGACGAACACCTGCAACAGGCTTTTTCCTTCATCTTCAGTATAATATTTCCATGATGGGAAGATACACACATAGGATTTAACAACATCAAATGCAATAGATGCTAAACTACGAATGGCTGGTTGTGCTTCGTCCACATGAATAGGTGTACTAACTGGTGGAGTTGGGGTTCGTTGTGGTAGTCCTGGCGCTTTGAGCATTCGAGCTGCCTTACTAACTGCTCTTGTTTGGGAGCTCTGTGGTGGAGATGGTGCTGTGTCAAATGGAACAGGGTTACTATCTGCTGGAGTTAGATTGGGTGATGATGGTTCTCTATCCATCAGAGTATGGGTACAATCTGCGGGAGTCTGGGTTATGTGTGTCTGGACTGGTTCTTGTGCATGTACAACTGGGGTGCTATCTCCACCAAGAGGTAGCACTGTTTTATTTGAAGACCATGTTTTTACTCCGCTACATACCGCCATCACCACCTCCAATTCAAATGGCTAATAAACAAGAAAAGTAGTTGAATGTACATACCTTGTATGAGAGACATATGCAATAGATAGTGTGGAAAAAAGAGGGCATGAAATAGTTCACATATATATTGTTTAACTAAAAAGGATAACATGACATAATTTCACATATATGATATCTATCTAGACTGGATAGCATAGCATGTCATAATTCCAAGATATGATGACTAACTAAACAGGATGGCATGAGATAATTATATGATGTCTTTAGTAAATAGGTTCGCCTGACATAATTCACATACATGTCACTAGTGGACAAAACGGCTAACCACAACTATCGTTGGTGGCACGCCCTTTCCCACCAATGCCAGCACTATTTTTTCCAAATAGTGTTGGTTAGACCAAATCAGCACGTCAACTTTACATGCTTAGCGCTGGTGTTGTTTTTTGGAAACACCACAAATCTTTTGGCCCATTGCATTCACCGTTTGGAATGCACTGGTGGCGTTGGTTTTGTTTGCACGCCATAGTTAATTTTTTAGCACTGGCATCCGTCTGCTTTGCACGCTAGAAACAGTTTTTCCATTTGATCAAGTGTTTTAAGTACTTAATTATTATACTAGTCACAAAATCATAAAAAATTATATTATGTTTTTTTCCA